CAATAAACAAATAAATTGATGTGCTTATTTGGAAATGCGCGCATGTTACTTTGTAACACAAATTGAATGTCCACCATGCTCTATAATTTACTATTTTACAGTAGGCAATTTGTAATACATGACAACAACAAAAAAAAATCTTTATTACCTACTCTGTTTGATACTGATAGCATAAAAAATCTTAGAAATCTTGTCTACCATAAGGATGCTAAAAATGTTCCTGATTGAAAAACTATGCCAGAAATAGAAAAAGTGTTTATTGAAGAAAGAAAAGTTGTCAAAGATAAAGATGGTAATGATGAAAAGGTTTTTTTTATGGAAGAAATTGATGCCTTAGCACAGCAGAATACTAGCCGAGTGATAAAAATACTTGCTAATCCTAATGATTACTCTCTTGAAGATATTCTCAAATTAGGAAAGAAAGAGTTAAAAGGAGTATCTGAAGAGTTAAAAGAAAAATTATTTGAACTAGCACAACAAAAAAATGAAGAAATAAGAAAACAAAAAGAAAATGAATTTGTTGAGGAATTAAGAAGGAAGTTCAATATAGATGAGGAAGGGAAATCTAACCAAAAAAAAGAGAAAGAAGAAGTTCCTCCCTTAGAAAAAGATAGTGATTCTCCAAGTGAAGAAGAAACTTCTCTTCCTACTCCTCAGGAATCACCAACATCACCAAAGGACAATAAAAATGTTTATGAGTTTAATGAAGAGCAAAAAGCCTTTTCTCTTTCTGATTTAGAACAACTAGAACAGTTTTTTATTCAACATGATAAAAAATGTAACTCTTGATGGTGATAATAAATTAGTAGTTGAATATCATAATAATAATAATAATAATAATAATAATAAAGCTGAATTACAACAAGTATTTAATTATTTAAAAAGCAATAATAAAACCTCTTTATCCCATTCTGAACTTAAACAAATAATTGCTGAGAAAAAGCAAGAACAATTACCATCAACCAACCCAACCAATTACTTACCTTATATTTTGGGAGGAACAATAATAGTATTGATGATAGGAGTTTTTGTCTATCTGTTAGGAAAAAAGAAAAAAAGGATATTAGTAATTATTTTATCTTGATTTAACAGATTTAACGGATTTTCATATATACGGTGCAGATCATCTATAATTATAATCATTAATTGCTTATAGTAACAATCGGTCAACTTCAAAATACTAAAACAAAAAAAAATTATATATATCATTTTAAAAAATTTAACCGATAAGTTTTATTGTTTTTTTTTAAACTGAAAATTGGCAGAGCCTTAACATTTTGAAAATTCCGAATTTTGTTATACACTTAAGAAATTGAGACTAAGTAAATTTCGTGTAACAGCTTTTTTTCATAGAATATTTTCTACAACATACATTTGATTTATTTGACTTATTTATTTCCTTTTTTTTATTAATAAAT